TTGGACGCATATGAAAACGCGCGGATTTACAAGGAGCGGGCCAAGAAGTGGCACGACCGGCACATCCTCAATCGAAACTTCCAACAAGGTGACCTCGTTCGTTTATTTAATTCTCAACTAAAACTTTTTCCAGGAAAACTAAAATCAAGGTGGTCGGGACCGTTCATCATAAAGAACGTGACCTCTCATGGAGCGGTAGAACTCGACAACGGAAAAGGCGGAACTTTCATTGTCAACACTCAAAGACTCAAGCCATACAATCCAGGGAGTATTAGACTAGAAGGAGGTACCTCTGTACTCTCCCTCTATATATATATATTAGTCCTTTTTTTGTGTGTGAAATGAATGATATTTACATCTTCCTTTACTTCCGTGTAAACTCTTTATTTATTAGAGAGAGACGAAACTAAACAAGCAGGAAGAGAAAGTGAATGGTCATACATAATACATAACCCACCCTGATGTGAGCACTTGGTGATGCCATTGGAGTTTGGTCGGTTTGTTGTCGGTAAGACGTTGGCATTGCATGTGCCCCGACCCACACCCACACCCAATTTTCACCCCCCACCCCACCCCCCTTTTTATTCACTGTTTAAAATGTATTAATATTATATGGTATTCTCATGGCATTTTTAATTACGTTACATCACGTTTCCTAAGGAAACTACTTGCCGAAATGGTCATTGCTTTTTTATATCAACCAAATATAAGAATAACACATTGACCATATTCCTCAACAAGTCCAATATTTCTCAATTATTAATATCATTATTAGCATTATTTTTCTCCAAATTATTCGACTGTCTCGGGCGTATAGTTTTTGCTTACATGCCTGTTTATGGAATGTCCTTTTTCTTAACACAAACTCACATTACTTTTCCTCACGTGGTTACTTTGAAAATTTTGGGCTCTTTCGTACCTCACGAATCACCCACACGGTTAAAATTACACCACAACATTAATAGCCACCCTGAATATATGCAGACTTAATTAACATAACAAATATTGTGAAAAAATAAATTTTGTCATTAAAATGCCACATTTTTGTTCGTGATCACAAAAAATGTACCATCTTAATCTTTCAGATAATGATAACAAATATTATTTGGTGCATGAACACATGTGTACAAACTTACCAGCAAAGTGTATATGCGTATACATACTAATACATCAATATAAACAAACTAAAAATATTTGATAAGCTTTTTGCACAATTAGACACTTTGAACTACATTTCAGCATATAAATAAATATAACAAATATTAAACTCATCAATCTAACCATATTTGACGATCGACATATTTATATCCTCGTACCGTTTTAGATTTTTCATATTTAAATTTTATATGATATCCAAACTAATATCTAATGATTTTTCTGGTAAAGAAATCCGAGTTTGATAAATAAAAAATCAATAATAAAATATTGTAAAGTCTCTGTCCTAATTTTTCAGATATCGCGAGTAGACAAAGGGGAGAGAGAGTAAGGGACATGGCGCGTGAGGTGGACCTAGTGTAAAAGTAATAAGAGTCAACCGACGTTTCTCTCATTACAGAAACTGATAAAACTTTTTATTCATTTTTCCAGTTGAAAAAAGTGTGAGTTGGTTATAAATAGATGGGTATTATTTACAGTTACAAAAACATTTTATTTTCTAATAATATAATCTGAAGCTTCAAAATAACTGTAATTGATTTTTTTATCGAGCTCTCTGACAATAACTATTGGTAAATTTTATATACTTGTATAAAATCCGCAACGAACTCTGAAACCAAAACACACATTTAAAATGTAGAGTTCCCCAAAAATGTGGATTATGAGCTCAAGTTTTTATTTGTTTTTGAAATCAGCCTTGAACATGAAATTTGAGGGGGAAAAAGAAGTCTAAAAATCAATTTATATTTAATTGAAAATAACATCAAACAATAAAAAATGTTTTCCATCACTGTTCTATTCTCAAATCCCCATGAACCCTAATAGAAAAAGAAAAAGAAAAAGCCCATCTCTCTCTCTCTCTTAAAAAGAAAAGAAGGGAGTCAAATCTCAACATGCAAGTGAAAAAACGGAGGCTCTTCTCAGTTACCCAAAACTAGGTTTCCCATGTTCTTCTTCGTCTTCCCCATCACCCTCTGAGATATAGAAACTAGAAAGAGAGAGAGAGATTGAGAACGAAGAGCCCAGTGATAATCATTTTCTCGTCTTCCTGCTTTCGTTCTCTTTCTCTCTCCTCGGCCTGAGTTTCATCTTTCTGGTTTCTCATTTTCTATTTCCGTGAAAGTCTCGATTTGTTTCTCAATCTTTCCGCTGCTTTCTATTCCGGGTTTTCAACACAAGAAGAACGAGCGATTCTGGTTCATATTCCTTTTGGTCCTTTTTTATTTTATAGGAAGATAAAAGCATCGAGTGTTTTTATTTTATGAACTTCGGGGGTCTGCTCGATAACTCCTCCGGCGGCGGCGGCGGCTCGAGGATCCTCTCCGACATATCTTATGTCAACCACCCCAACGCCAGTTATGGGTACAGATGGGCAAG